TAGTACTTACTCAACTCATGGAAGCCTACTCGTCTTCCTCATCTTCCACGTCATCAATGTACCTGGCCGCCGCCGCCACCAACAACGCTACCTCAGAGGATCATCATCATCATCAGCTCCACGTCAGCAAGGGTCGCCGGAAGCCGTTCCATTCATCTCTCCATTCGATTCGGAACAACAAGCCCAACAGGAAGCCATACGTTGCTCCGCTGCCGCCCAACCCAGCTCCCACAGTCTACAAAGTCGACCCAGTCAACTTCAGGGACCTCGTCCAGAGCCTCACCGGAGCCGCCGCCGCCCAGCAAGGGAGGATTCAGAACTTGGCGCCGCCAAAGCTCGATGTGCTGGAGAGGCCGCCGCTGCAGCAGCTTCTTCCTCGGACTAACGCGAAGGGCGGCGGCGAGGAAGGGTCGCCGTTTTCGGGGCTGTTTCGGGAGTGGATGACGACGGAAAGTGGTGCGGAGAAATCATCACACGGCATGAATATGAGTATGACGATGAGGTCGTCGTCTTCGTCCTACGTGGAGGGGGATGGCAATAAAAACGATTATTTTTATAGTAATGGTGTTACGGCGCCGGATGGTGCGATAGCGTCGCTGGAGCTGAATCTGCTGTCGTCGTCGCCGACTTCTCAGCAGTGTTGGTTTCCGCAGCTGTTGAGCCCAGCAGGGGGAACTTGATTGGTTGGTTTCCGGTTGGGGCGGCATAGCTAGCCACTTTTAAGTTACTTTGCATCTCCGTTGAAATATGATGGAGGAGGTTGCGCGCCGTGGCAGAAAACGCTGCTAATGGTTTGCTTTGGCGGAAAGAGATATATATTATATAGTTCTTTATTCTCTCCTTTGTAATGGTTTTGAATAATTGTAGCATTTTACACCATTACTTAATCGTTCTTAGATTAAGTATAAACATTTTTGTGATGATCGGTTGGGACGCGGGATCCATTGAATTTGTTCCGGTGATCGGGTGACATATGAGGTGGATTTTAGGGGGTTGACTTGATAGGATGCTAAAACAATGCTTGGATTATCATCACAAAAATCATTTTCAATAAGGGTGAGTGGATAAAAAACAACAAAATTTACACTAAATCAAAATGCAATCAATCAGTCAACCCATTCTCATTTCCTTCGTCTCGGTCTTTTTTCTCCATCGTGATTTTAGATCATTGATCGGACGGTGTTGCTCCGCCGTGTTGACAGCATCACTTTTCGCTCTCCCTCCACTGAGTACCTTCTCTTTCTCTCTCTAAATGAAGAAGCTAGATTTGGGGACGGGATATGGTGACAACTGACAACCCACTTTATAGCCATTAGATGTATTCTCTCTCTTGTCTCTCTCGAGTCATTTTTAAATTGAAGGTTGAGATGAAAAGAAAGGTGTTTTTGAGATGAAAAAAACTTACCACACCCAATCATTCTCCCTCCCATATAAAATAATAAAACCCTAATCTAACTCATACCAACTTCACAGTCGTTCAACTCCTTATTCCCTTCCTCCCTCTCTTCAGCGGACGTTGCCGTCGACGCATCTCCCTCTTCCTCTCACATGCCCACCGCCACCCCCGACCTCCGTCGCGCCGGCTATCCCTGCCGCTCTGCCGCGCTCGCTGTCCCCGCCGCCCTGTCGCGCCCGATGTCCCCGTCTCTCCTGCCGCGATACGCTGCCCCCGCCACACCTGCGCTCGCCGTCTTGCCACGCTGCCCCAGCCGCCATTTTTACGCCACCGCGAGGCCAATGACTCTTCCCTGCCTCCCTTTTCTTTTTTCCAGATCTGTGGTTTTTCAGAATTACAGATTTGGTTTTTTGTGTTAGTCTCTACTAGTATGTACCAGTGAGCACTGGTAGGGTACCACTACCACTGGTAGCGCTACTGGTCCGCTACCACTACTCACTGGTACGTACCAGTGGCTCCCCTTTTCTAGATCTGCTTTTTTCTGACTAGTGGTACCATTTTACTTCTAGTAGCATACCACTGATAGTGGTACCATTTTTCTTCTAGTAGCATACCAGATGTTAGTGGTAGCATACCACTAGGGGTGGGCATCGGTTCGGTTCGGTCAAAACCGAACCGAAATGGAGCATACCGGATCCCCGATTTCATCTCAACCCCAAACCGAATTCGAACCGGAATATATTTCGGTTCGGACCATCCGAACCGAAATATATCCCGGTTCGGTCCGGTTTTAATGCTCAACCCGAAACCCTTCCTTCCTTTTGACTTCTAATCTGCCTTCTCCAAGACTGCAACCCCTCTCACTTTCTTTTTCCTTTTTCGACAGATCCATTCCCCTCTCTCTCCCTTTCCATTCATTTTCTACCCCCTCCATTTCTATATCTCTCCTTTTTTCCAATCTTCCAGTACAACATCACACCACCAAAATCAATTCAAACCCGATGGAGGGGAGGAAGGGAAGTGGCTATGACGGCAAGGAGTAACGACGAGAGAGAAGGAAGGGAAGCGGTACGCCGCCGTCGTGTTCACTCCGCAAGCCGCCTTCGGATCTGCTCTGCCCACTCCACAAGCCGCCGTTGAGCACGTCGCCGCCAAGATGTCAACACCAGAATTGTCGGCGGTAGATCTCCTTTCCTCTCCTCCCCTGGCCGAGGGCAACCTGCTTCAGATCGGCTCCAGTTGCAACGCAGCTCAAGGATTGGGATATCTTGACTCGGATTCTCTTCTCTAGGCGGCAACGGCGAGAGATGATAGATGAGAGAGATGGTCTTTGTTGGTTGTCTGCAGAGAGAGGTGAGAGGCGGCAACGGCGAGAGATGATAGATGAGAGAGATGGTCTTTGTTGGTTGTCTGCAGAGAGAGGTGAGAGGGGTCATGGGCTAGGGTTGTGTGATTCATTATTTGGATTTTGGGCTCAGGAAGGTAAGTCTTTTGGGCTTGTTGGGCGACTGGGCTATGATGATTATTGGGCTGGGCAGCATGTTTCGGTTTGTCGGTTCGAAATTCGAAACCTCGGTTCGGTCAAAAGAACCCTGGTTTCCGAATTTGGCACATTCTCCTTCCGAATTCCGAACCGAATAACAATATTTCGGTTTCGGTTCGGTTTAAATCGGGTTCGGTCCGGTTCGGTTCGGGTTTACCGAACCGTGTGCCCACCCCTACATACCACTATCATCTAGTACCACTACCATCTGGTTTTTTGTGTTACTCTCTACTGGTAGCGCTACCAGTGCTAGTGGTACGATACCAGATGATAGTTGTACCTCTGTATTGATAGCGTACCACTAGAAAAAAATCAATACTAGTAGAATAATGGACTGATACACTTTTTAACGCATTGGTACATTTTTCAAGTTGCTGGAGGAAGTCTGTCGGAGAGATTTCGCTGGAGGAAGTCTACCGGAAGGATTTCAACGGTGGTCGATGCAAAGTGGCTGCTGGAAAAAGAAAGAGAGAGAGATATAACTGTATAGGATTTAAATTTTAAAAAAGCTTGTATTTAATATGGGGTTTTAATTCCCAATGTAATTAATACAAAAAAAGTAATTAATACATTTCTTTTTTTTCATACCCAAAATGCTCTTGGTTGTCAATCCGAGGGGTTGTCACCATATCCCGTCCTGATAGGTTGTAGGGTTAAGAGTATAAAAGTTCATGGAAAGGCTAAAAATGAGGATTCAAAGGGATGAGAGGTTAATTAGAAGGAGAAATAACGGGTCGTTTGCTTGAGGGTTTTGGTGATGGATTTGGTCATGGAAATCTATCCATCATGGACTTTAACGGAAAACCATCGTTTGCCTTAGGGAATTAGGGAGATGGAATTTGTGGGTCCGGCCACTTTTGGAGTTCCAAATCCGTGGACCCCACGGACTTGGAAGTTCCACCTCTTGAGGTGGGATTTGGGTGATGGATTAAAATCCATGATGGTAAATTACCTTTCTACCCTTACGTATTACTTTAATTACAAAGTTGTCCTACTTTAATTCAATGGTCATGCAATTATAAACTTTTATAATGTCGTATTTTATATATATGAGAATTTTTCATTTCATTTTTCATTTCATTTTGTAATATCATAGTTTATTTAAATATGAATGTATATGTGATTTGTTAGATTCAACTATAAACATCTTATGCTCGTCTTGTGCATTATTATTTGATTGATTGTCGGATTCCAAAATCGGGGAGTTAGCAAGAAGTTGATGAGTTGTAGCAATAAAGCGAGCAATTGGTTGCAATTGATACATAATATTGCTTACATTATTAGATGAGTTGTTAATTAGTGTCAAACTATAATACATTTTCTATATTTGTAGTTGAATTATTAGTCCACATAGTGGTAAAGAGTTTAAAATTTCATTGTATGCGTTGGATTTTTTTAATGAAATTTATGGATTATATTATAGAAATATAATTAGATAAGATAAGGGTAACAAGGTAATTTGAATTTCATATCCACAAATCTATTCAAACAAAATCTATAATCAAATCCAACAAGCAAACAATAGACTTGGTCAAATCCATAATGCCACCAAATCCATCATATATCCATGGTTTTCCAAAACCCAAATTTTACTAACTCTCGTTTTTCAAATCCATGAAGCAAACAACCGGTAAAATTTTAATTAGGCTTAATCACAAGATTGGTCACTCGAATTGCTATAAAATTTCACGTTTGCCACTCAAATTAATTTATTCCATTTATAGTCACTCGAATTAGTTGAACAGTTCAAATTCGGTCACTCTCCGTTAACCTCCGTTAACTTTGACTGAAGTGGCGGTCAACTCTGACCGTTGACCGTTAAATGTGTGACGTGGCAAATAAAAAATAATTAAAAATTAAATTAAATTTTTAAAAATTACACATGATTATAAAAAAATTATAATTATAAAAAATGAAAAAAAAAAAATTAGAAATGTACACCCTCTCTCTAACACCTTCCCCACCACACGCCCTCCTCCGCCTCTCTTTCCGGCCGCCGCAACTGCTCAACTCTAAGCGGCAGCGATGGATTCCTCTTCATCGTCGCTAGAGAGTTGCCCCGACTCTTTCCCCCGCGCCCAATTCCTCATCCAAATTCAAATTCTCCACTTCCATTTCCTCTCTCTTTCTCTCTATCTCCGAGCTCCAAATCGACCCGCCTCCGCCAATGGCAGACTCCGACTCCGCTACCGCCCAATCTCCATCTCCGCCGCCCGCTCCTCTCGCTCCGGTTAACTTTCTACTCCCATGCCTTTTCTCATCTCCATATATTTCCTTTTTCTGCTCACTTTCTCATTTCCGTTTCGTTTCCCCCTTTTCGAGCGGCCTCCAGAAGAAGGAGAATCTTACGCCCGTGAGCTCCAAGATCGCGGTGAGAGATTTTTTTTCCTCATTCTTCTTCAACCTTTTGAATTCCGAGTCATCCTACCTAGTTGCCAGGTTTTGATTTAGCAGCTGCCGCCAGCGGAAAAAAAAACTAGATTTGGATTTATTATTAAGAAAGAATCTCCGCTGTTGTTGGTTGCGTTTGTAGGAATTGAACGAATCGAGGGTTGAGCTCCTTACCAGAATCCAAGGCTTGAAAAAGGTGAAGTTCTTAATTTTCTAGTCGAAATTGGGCTTTGACTTTGACTGACTTGGAAAGTTGGAATAGACATTGATTGTTGAAGTTTTGTTGGCGTGTTTATGGTTTTCAGGACTTGCATACTCGGAGATCCAAGATAGACACTCAGATCAAAATCTGCCGTGAGGTAACAAACAGCCATTGCCTCCTTCCCCTTCCTCCTCTGCAATCTCCCGGATCGGCTGCTGCCGCTTCCCCTTCCTCCTCTGCAATCTCCCGAGCGCTCCACCTCGTCAAATCCGAGAATCCAGAGTCCAAGGTCTAGGCTGCGAGGGAAATCCGCCGCCTCGCCAAGACCTCGCAGCGGTGCCGCCGCCTGCTCGCCCACGCCGTTCCGCACCTCGTCTCCATGCTCCGGGTCGCGACTCCGCCGACTGCCACGAGGCCGCCTTGCTCGCGCTGCTCATGCTCAATTTCTTTTTTTTCATTTTTTATAATTATAATTTTTTTATAATGATGTGTAATTTCTAAAAATTTAATTTTTATTTTTTAATTATTTTTTATTTGCCACGTCACACATTTAACGGTCAGAGTTGACCGCCACGTCAGTCAAAGTTAACGGAGGTTAACGGAGAGTGACCGAACTTGAACTGTTCAACTAATTCAAGTGACTATAAACGGAATAAATTAATTTGAGTGGCAAATGTGAAATTTTATAGCAATTCGAGTGACCAAACTTACAATAAAGCCATTTTAATTCTGAATTGCTATTCGTCGCCCTAATATTTAAATTTTATCGCCTTAAATCACACTAAATTGACACATTTACCCTAACTTCCATTTCTAACCTAAATCCTAAGCGAGCCATGGAACTGTTTCTTGTCCGCCTCCGATTCCGAGCAGGAAGTCGATCAAAACGCGGCGGACGGAGGAGAGCAGTATCAGGCAAAATGACCGGCAATGGCGACTAGGAAGAGCTGGGAGACGTAAGGCGGAGAGGGAGAAAGTGGTGAGAGAGAGCGACGGAGAAGCAACTGCTTGCTTTGCTGATTTAAGTTTGGGTTGGAGTGCATTTGTCCTCTTTTCTTGCCGGAAACAAAAAATTAGCTCAGCTGTGTGCATATCTTTCTTCCTTTGCAGTTTATGGGATTTGGGTTTTTTGTTTTTAATTTTTTATGAAACAATAATCAAGATAAATTTTCTCCGTCGCCGACCACACTACCCGTCGCAGCTTCCGGCAGATTCTACTCCCATCCACCTTCAACCCATCTCAACCCGATCCCCCACCCTCATCCGCCACCCCACAGGCCACAACCATTGATGCTCTGAGCTCTGTTTCCGGCGACGACAAATAAACTAGGGACATTAGGGTAAATTGATTAAGAATTAGGGCGACGAATAACACTTTTTAGGGCGACGAATAGCAATCCCTTTTAATTAGGAGGAACAGACCTCATTGTTTTTGACCCAATAAAATGGGCTTAGATGAGTTTCTGCCAACCTGTAACCTGGCCCGTAGTAGCGGGTGGGTCCAGAATACTTCATCGCTGTTGAGTGTTAATAGAAAGAGTTGCGCGTTCCAGTTATGCAACTTGTTGAGTTTACTTGCATCACGAGCCGAGAAAATGTCCTGGTTAGCGAGGTCTATCGCCAACACTCTCAAGCTCGACGACGATGATGCCGACGGGAGTGAAGACCATCATAACCTTAGCGCCGGCGAATCTGGTGCAAAGGACCCGAAATCCTCTCCAGCCGCTGAGTCTGATGAACATTCGCCGTCGTCAACAATCAGTTCCACAACTCCCCGCGGCGTCAAGGAAGACATCTCCGAGATCACCAAGACCCTAAGTCGCCAGTTCTGGGGGGTCGCCTCGTTCCTCGCTCCCCCACCCGAATCTCCTAGCCCTCCCGCCCGCGGCCAGATCTCTGATGATTCGATCGAGGAACCCGATTATCGGCAGCTTTTGGATCCGGACGAGACTAATGAAGATCTGATTGAAGGAATACGGAGTGATTTCGCTGAAATCGGTGGGAGATTCAAGTCCGGGATCTCCAAGCTATCGACTAATATGGCGGTCTCGGAGATCACAAAGATCGCCTCGAATTTCCTGCAATTCGCTTCGGAGGGAGATGTGAACGATGCGGACTTGATTGGTAGCGCCGTCGGTGTGACCGAGGAGGCTGTGGCCTTCGCTAGGGATGTTTCTATGCATCCGGAGACTTGGCTTGACTTTCCCCTTCCAGAAGATGACGATTTTGAGGGTAAATTGTTATACCTTCCAGTATTATGTTTAGAGGTTTTAAGAAGTGTTTGATGCGGATATGGTTTTGTTAGTATTCGAAGGTTGCGTTGCTGCCAGAGTTTCTAGGTGGTTTGAGCTCGTAGCAAAGTATGGTCTAGTTGCAGTTGAGTCTAGAAAGAATAATGAATTTGTGGCGTTGGACCCTTATGCGAGTCTTTAAGATGGTGGCGGTGGCAAGGATTCATCTTTCCTCTGGTGGTTTTGCACTCAATAATGGCATGGGAGACGAGCGTTATTCGTATTGCCTGTTTTATGGATGCTTTCCCCAGGCTTCGCCCTTCATCATATACTTGGTATCCGGGTAGGACGTAAGTTGTCTAGTAATGGTACGCAGTCTAGTTGGGGAATCCAGTAGCTCAAGCATATAGCTAAAGGGTATATGTAACAGTTTGTGCTTCAGATGGTGTTGCTGCTTCTTTATAAATGCGTGTTACTTCTTTTTTATAGTCATAATCAATGGAATGTGCATAATATACACAGATATACATGCTGGAAATTATCCGGAGATTTTGTTTGCATTCAAATATGGGGTTTGGGAATTTGTTCTTGCATGGTTTACCCTAATAAACTGTGGTTTGACATTATGACTTCTCTTTGGCTCCATCCATGCTTAAAGGGCCGCATGTAGAATACATTTACAGTCTTGATGTGTATCTATGTTTGGGACTTCCTGATGCCAAATGCACTGTCTTTTTTCTTTGTAGATTTTGACCTGTCCGATGCCCAACAGGAGCATGCCCTAACTGTTGAGCGCCTTGCCCCAAGGTTAGCTGCTCTTAGGATTGAACTCTGTCCTGGTTATATGAGCGAGGACTGCTTTTGGAAAATTTACTTCGTCCTTCTGCACCCTAGACTTAGTAAAGAAGACGCTTTACTGCTGTCTACTCCACAGGTATGTTCCCTTTCTCACTTCAAACCATCAGTTGGCATCTTGAAACATGGCTGTGGATTCTCGATTTGGATTAAGCAAACTTAGGCTCGTGGTTAATTGAACTGGGGCTAATCAAATGATTTAGTCTTTTCGATTCCCTGCCGCTAACTTTGGCATTATTTTACCTGTAGATAATGGAAGCTAGGGCAATGTTATCTCAAGAACTACAGAGGAGAGCAAAGCCAAAGCCCAGTTCATGTTTCTCAGAACCTGATGCTTCAGTAGTATCCAAAGAAGATGGTGGTGATTCATCCCAGGAAGCTTATCTTTCAGTGCCGTCTCAACACGAATCTGGTTCCAAGGATGCTCCAGTTACAGCAGTGCCATACAGTGCTGCTATAGGTGGTGAAGCAGAAAAAGAGAAGCACCCAGTCCAAAGTACCGAAGTGGAAATAGTCGACAAAGCTGTGGTCGAGGAAGAAATAGTTCCCCTCCAGAAGAATAAGCAACAGCTGAACCCATCTGCTCCGAGCTCATATTCTCATGCTGCAAATGATAAATTTGAGGACGATGGTGACGACTGGTTGAAAGACGAAAGTTCTGAAATGGTTGGTGGTGGTGGTGCCAGTGGGACCATGAAACATATCGAAGATGACGAGGATGTGTCATTTAGTGATCTGGAAGATGATGATGAAGGGGAAGTGCCTATAACCTATAAAAAGTAGCAACCACAGATGGTTCAGCCAAAGATTCAATGAACTGGGTTGGGTGAGCAGAAGTTGAGGCAACTCAGTGAAGGACATTAGCCCTCTAAATGCAAAAAAGTGATGGCCTCACACAGGCAAGTTCCCGACCATCTGTGAACAGGGGAGCTGATGATTGGCAAGATGCGGAGAACATCGACGTGATTCGATTAGCGAGGGTTAAGCCTCTAGTAAGGTGTGCGTTTTCTGCAATCTTTTTCTTTTTCCCCTCTTCTGCTGCTGTGAATATCTCATGTCCTGCATATGGTGTCCTCTCTCTTCAGTCTGAGTTAGGCCAAGGGAACTCTCTACTCGTGTACATATAGCTGAACCTGAAATCGGATGGTATGGTACTCATGAAATGTCTATCTGTGCTGTGTAATAATTTCTTTTCCCATTCATGTAATTGTTTTCCATTTCATATTGTCAATCATACTATTTCAGTTGCTTCCCATGTAGCCAAAAATTCCTCTACATCTTTGCGGCCGATCCTCTATTTCCTTTGCGCTTTTCTCCCTTCTATAGCTAGGGGCCAGTGTGTTATTTTCCTACTGCTGTGCGTCAATAAAGCCTCCCTCTGATATTGATTGTGAAACTGTATCGAAGATCGATTCGAGGAAAACGAAATACGATTGCCAAATCATGATTGAACCATAGTACCTTGGTCACTACTCACTAGTATGTGATTTAACCGATATAATTGACCGGCACAGTTTTGGTTGCAGTAATTGCTTCGGAGAAGCAGGGTCTAGACGAGTAGGATTCTGGTTTTGATGTCAGTTGTGGCTCCTATATGTCTGTAATTGAGATTTTCCGCCGGGTGAAACGACAGCCGGTCTCTCAAGGCTCTAACGGTATCATGCATTCATGAGCAGCACTGAGGAAATGTAAAACTAGAACCGGATTTTATATACAAAACAAGGGAAGGAAGAAACAAGAAAGAACTATTTGCTGAATATTTACAGAACACGACGTCAGCGATAGCCTGAAACCTCCTTTCCTCATGACCGAATGGACGACCCAAAGTTACTGGAAAGCCAACCCAAGTGTGCCCAAAACAAGGTCCCCAAAGAGAAGCGCGGCTTCTCACCACCAGCACTGCCATCATGACGACGGGTTGAGGGCTTTGATGCTGCAGTTGGCTTCACCTCCCCATTCCAGCAAGGCAACTTGTCGACGACGACGATCGACTCCCCGAGCTCTTTCCTCACCTGCTCCACCGTCTCCGGGCTCACGTAGCTCCCTCCCGACGAAGCCTCGGTCACGTAGAACGACCCGATGGCCATCTCCCCATGCCTCCCGACCTCCGCTCTCGATATCGACAGCCCGTTCTCCCTGAACGCCCTCGTCACATCCGACAGCAGCCCCATTCTGTTCATCGTGCATACGTCCAGCCTCAATCCCTGCACCATCCCCCCGCAAAAAAACAGACAGAAATCCAAACAACATCAGTCTTCATTCACGACCTCAGTCCAAACGAAACCAAACATAACAGAGCAAATTTTCTTCGCCATCTTACATCGCAATCTCTCCGTTCAATTGCAGCGATCAAGCATTGGCTCAGCTTATGCCTCTCGCTCTCCTTCTCCAGCGTGCACCCGTCCTTCTGCCTTATGAAATACTCCTGCAACCACCAAAACCCCCCAATTTACCTAAACATTCTCTTAATCGATCATTTACTTCCTCTGCTTCTTTAGTGCAATTGCATTCATTACCTGATCGGCCAACGTTCCTAGGGAGCTGACCGCGGCGTGGAACACGACGTACTCCATGTCCGTCAGGGCACAGACCGTGTCGAACAACAGCTTGGGCCGATCGGCGCTCCTCAAATTGACGATGGAGTAGCCTTTCTCCTCGCACGGCTCGATGGTGACGTGGATCTTGGCACAATCCCGGCGGTGAACGGACCCCGAATCTCCCGCATCGTTGCAGCCCTGGCAGCGCGTGTAGTCCAGGTCGGCGTAGAGCAGCTGGTGGAGCCGCCTCTCGGTGTGGGTCCGGCCCAGCTTGGGGTCCGTGAGCCTGACGCTCCTCCTCTCCCCTGTCCCGTGGTGGGCCTCCACCACGTTCTCCAGCTGCTCCTGGACGTGGGCCAGCCTCCCCGAGTCCACGATGGGCCCGCCGCCGCGGCCCTCCTCCACGTAGATGATCACGGCGGCCCGCCCGCTGTGGGTCCACGCCACGGCAGCAGTGACGTGGCACTCCAGCTGGGCGAGCACGGCGGAGATCTCGGACAGCAGGCCGGGCCGGTCGATGCCGGTGATTTCGAGGGCGGTGTGGTCGGAGGAGGAGGAGGAGGAGACGTGGCTGGGTCGGACCTGCCTCTTGATGGTCGGACCGGTTTGGTTCGGGACCCTCCTACTAGCACAAATCGCCTGTAAAAATTTGTCTTTGTCTGTCTGTTTTGCTTTGTACACATTTTATGTAAAAAGGAAGAGGCAGAGGTGGTAGGAGAGAGAGAGAGAGACCTGTTGTATGTAGAGAATGAGGCTTTCGTCGGTGAGTTTATTCCCAAGCTGATCGGTCACGTGGAAGACTGCAAGAAAGAAACCCACATGGATGACGACTTTCATGAAGCTAAGGAATCGATTGGAAAGTAAAAGTATTAACTTTGGGATCCTAATCCTATAGTATAGATTTATAGAGTAGTGGTAAAGTTGGTGTGGAATCGTATTCTTTTACACTATGTTTGGCAACAAGGGGGGTGCAAGTTCGAGGGGGGTGCAAGTTGAGGGGTAAATTGTTGGGGGGTGCAACTTGGTGGAGGGTGTAAGTGGAGGGGTAAATTGTTGTTTGGATGAAAAAGTAGGGGGGTGCAAATAGAGTAAAAAGTAAGTAATTATATTATTATAAAATAGATTTATCAATTTATAAAATATTATCACAAAATAATAACATGAAAATTCAATATATAATAATAATAAATAATAAATAAAAATAATTTTAATAAAAATAATTATTATATAATAATGCTCAAATATAATTATTTATAATAATAATAATAATCATTGGTCGAGCAACCTCGAAACTCGAAATCCAACTCGTAACTGGTCATCCTAAGGGGGTTCTCGTGCCTAACTTTAAATTGAATATGGTCAAACTTAGTCAAACACGTTCGAATCTATAAGTTTTAACTACTTATTAAAGTAAATCGAGTTAACTAAACTGTTCCTCTCTATCTTTTCAACAAACGCTTCTTATCTCTAATTTTCAATGCAAATTCGGGTCAATTAAGAGATATCGATTTGACTAGGCGAACATTGACAAACTTGCTCTCCGAGTCAAATGGTCAACCCCAAACAACTTCTACACTAATATAGATATAAGAAAAAATTAATAATATTACTTATTATGTAATTATAATCTAATTAAAAATCCATAATTCCCCTCCTCCCCCTTCCCCCTCCCTTCCTTCCTTCCCTTGCACCCCAATTTGGGGGGTAAGCCGAAATAGTGAATTTACGCTCACGTTTTGCACCCCCCTACTGTTACAAAATAACCAAACGGGGGTAAACACCTTGGAACTTGTGTTTACCCCCCAAACTTGCACCCCCCTTCCATTTACCCCCCTTCCCAAACATAGTGTTAGACAGAAAAGAGGAGAGGAGACTGACTGACCGTCCATGAACCATCCGCCGTCGGAAGAAATGTACGACTTGGAGATGACAAGGTCGAGATCTGTCAAAACTTGAACCAGCTCCAGCAGAATCCCATGCTTGTTTGCACTATCCACCTGGTAATAGCAAAGCAACACATAAAATGAGAATGCCTGTATTGTTTTGTGTGAATCTCACCTGTACAATCACAAAAAATGAGGTATTATACAATCTCAACTAAAAGTTGAGATTGTTGCTTTTAGGTTTCTATCTCATTTTTATTTCCGTTTATATCCCTAGTAAATGAGATGAAGAGGAAAAGAGTTGTATGTTAAAATAAAAGGATAAATGTGATATTTCCACCAAAAAGTTATTTTATGTAAGTTAATCGCTAAACTATAAACTCAACAACCAAACAATGTAATGTTAAATGCAACGACCGTATCAAACGGTACAGTTCCACTTAAATAATAGTGAACTGATCGACGTAGACTAACTGCCATGCATATCACCAAGCAAGTTACAAATTAAGTTTGAAATCGAGCCAGGAATTGTGTAAAAGACTGAATAAATAAACGACATGTAAGAGACGAACGGATTGGATCAAAATTGTATAACTAACATAGCAATGCTTATAACACTTTCAATTCGAAAGAGATCCTGTGAATGTGATGTAGGCAACGCTAAATATATTCATGGTATGCGTAAGTATGCACCACCAAATTCATTCATGAATCATGAGCCCTTTGTAATTCCAAAGATGTGGACTTATTGTTGTTGAATAAACAAATAAATCCCAGCCTCTCCTTTTCCCCTTTCCCCTTTCCGGTTTTTCTTAATTTCTGGGTTTTTCCTTTCCACGTATTGGTGTTGATGGAATCGAAAGGGAAAGGAAAAACAGCATATCATGGTGTGTGGGGGTTTAGTTTGCATTGCAACTAGATTGTGTCATCCAATCCAAGTCTCTGTTCTGGTCCCCATCCCTCATTGGTAGGTAGTTTAGTTACCTTGTAGCTATTCTATCGAAAGTACGAGCCAATTATCCAGTATATTTAAGAGAAAATACAATAGCATAAATTTCTATGCGCGTTTTACTTTCCTATATAGGTTGGTAATCGAATCTTAGGGTTTGTATACACTAGAGGAGCTAGTTACCCGGGGTGCATGTTTTAAACTCTAGTTAAATGAAGACAATAACCAACACAAGTGGTGGTAGGCAGAGAATTTGGGATAGGATGCATTGCGTTGGAATCATCACGAACTACGGGAAAAAAAACTAATCATCACTTATAGTTTGATTGATTAATCAATTAAGAATAATGCTTACTGGTGGTGGTGTGATTACATTAACTAGTAATCTAATTAATCATATCAGACGAACAAGCAAGTGGGTTTCAGGTGACACATGCTGCATATTATGCAAAATTGTGTCTTTCCTCCACATTCCTACCGCACTCACAAACCACAAACCACCCACTTCCTCCTTCTTCAAACCAGGATTATACTAGTTAAAACCCTAATTATAATAGCTCTTAATTTAAAGAGAAAAACGAACAACTAAAAACTGTAATAACAAAACCCTAGAAACCGTGACAGAGAGCTGAATTCTGTTCTGCCCTTATCATATAATATAATATTGTTATCACGTACCTTAACAAGCGTGCAATCTGGGTATGTGTCGTTGTCGACGCAAACCCTGCAAATCCAAAAAACAAAAACAAAAAAAAAGTAGACCAACAGTCAATCATAATCCAATTTTACGTGATCGAATCGACCCCAATAGTCAGTTTGGGGAGAAAAGAAAAGAAAAGATGAAAGAAACGGTGCCTGGGAGGGTAGATTCTTTCGATGAGTGATTCGAAATCGGGATCAATGTATGGCTGGTAAGCAAACTCCATTCTTCTTCTTCTGTTCTTCTTCTCTGGTTCGATTTTCAGCAGCAGCAACCGCAATGGCTACAGCAGAGCTTCGTCGAGTGTGTTCTCCTCATGGCGACCGTATTGTCAATTGAATTATCGATCGCTCGTCGCTGTTTAAACAACAAGAACGAGAATAGGGAAAAGGAAAAACAGAGTCATTATCTGGAAAACAGAGTCGTTATTTATCCCCATCAGTGATAAAAAAGAAAAAAAAAATTAATTCCCGAATACGAAAAGGAAATCAATAATTATCAAAATACATAAATAATATTTATTATATAAATCGAATAACCCAAGAAGAAGAAACCGGGCTGACGAAGGACTCCTCGGCGTCCCAGAAGAACAAATACACGCAAACCCATATATTAAAACAGAATTTTGACGACGGACAAGGGAAACTGTGGGAGGGATTCAAAGGAATCACCGTCAGAATTATCAATCCAAGAAATGGAGTGAAATGATAATCAAATTACCTGCTCCTGCTTTCTTTCTTTCTTTTGCCCCGTAAACTCCCAGTGTCCGCTAAGTTAATATGAAGCAGAGGGAGGAGACGAATGAAGAAGCGAATTGGAAACAAGTAGAGAATTTTGTATAGGTTCCCCAGAATATCATATGCATTACATACACACAAAAAAATGCCCAACAAGGAAGGAAGGAAAGGGCGGTTCCACTCTCTCTCTCTCTCTTAAATCTCTTTTCTTTTTTGGGTTTCTTGATTTCTGTCTGCGTGCGTGGAATTGAGTGTGTTGTTGCCCTTTTTATGAAATTCTGTGAATTTGAGAACGTGCTGCTGATGGCACAGAGGGGGTGTATCGAAAATTCATACAAAAGAAAAAGGGGAGAGGAAAAAGGAGACGAAGGATTCGGAGATGCACTGGGTATGCGCCACGTGTACTACGGTGGACACGTGGTGAGCTGGGTGAGCCATCGTTTCTTCTCCCCCATGGAACCAAGAGCCGCCACGTGTACTTGTGGTTGGGGGGGGCCTCTTTTTTACCATTCCCATTAGTAATTTCTGTTTCGGCTAAGTAAATAGAAAGAAGAAAAAAAAATAGTCTTGTGTTTTACTGTTTGGTGGGTCAATATTTTTGAGAAACTTAAACAGCTGGATACGAGTAGATTTCGATGTTGATGGTTTTATTTTATGGGTCAACGATTCTGTATTCAACAGCATGCAGCGGCAGCAGCAGCTTATTTAGGGGAAACGTAAGCAGGATTTCTGCGAAATTGAAAGGCGGCCGGCCTCGGTCCCTCTCGCATCCCAATTTCCCGCCAAATGTAATTTGTTTTTTGCATCCCATCAAATTCTATGTATTTATTTGTCATGCGATAGTTGATCCCAATAACTCGAATTGTTGGGAGAAGGTTATGTTGAATCTTACACGCCCCCCTCAAAAGAAAGCAGATTCATGGGCTTGAAGTTTACACAGGCCCGCTAAAACATGTGCTTGAAAGACAACGGTTAATATTGGGGGTCAAAACGACTTTAACCCGACTTTTAGTATTTTTAAAATTCTCTTTTTCCTTTTTGTTGAGAATGACAATTGAACTCAAACCCATGATATTGACGAGTTTTCGTATCGGGAGCGAGTGTTATACGTTATTGTAGTTAAGAGGTTGGGTAGGGTGTGCATTTATTAAACACTCAGATCGACCCGGTCAAAGCGAGGTGACCAGAGTGTTCACGAGTTTTGGATCGAGAAAGAGGCTTGCCCACTTTAATGTTATTTTACTTCTCTTTTTTGTTTCTGTTGAATGACAATTTGACCAGACCCGGTCTGACGAGTTTTGTATTAACCGTGAGTTCTATCTGCTTTTATAATTGGCATGTGTTAGTCGAGTGTGAACTCTTTAAAAATTCAGTTTGACCAAGTCAAAGCGAATGGAACTAAACATCGAGAGATTTTGGTTGGGAGAGGGTTTTATTTGCTTTAATATTTTTATTTATCTTTTCCCTTTGGTTGAGAATGACAATGGAAATCAAACCCAATGTATCCAATCTAATTCATCTTATCAAAACGACTTGAACCCAATATTTACAAGTTTTTGACCGGGAGTGATCGTTTTATTCATTTTTTAATTAGCATGACCAAGAGTGAATTTTATTTATCTTTTCTCTTTGGTTGAGAATGACAATCGAAATCAAACCCAAGCTATCCAATCTAATTCATCTGATCAAAACGACTTGAACCCAATATTTACAAGTTTTTTTACTGGGAGTGAGTTTTAGTCGCTTTTTTTAATTGTCATGTTGGGTCAAGTGTGAATTTTGTTAAAAAAAATGGTTCACCCCGGTCAAAGCGTGTTGAACCTGTTGTTGTCGAGTTTTGGTTCGAGAGCGAGTTTCATTGCTTTAGTGTTTGTTAATTTTTTCCCTTTTTGATTGAGAATGCTAATTGAACCCAAATCCATTGCCCCTAGGTATTAAACCTAATTCGTTTCGATCAACGCGAATTGAACCTACTCAAACCTGCGATCGACCCCGAAAATCCATAAAAAAGAGAATCAAGATTAACAATAAAAATAAATAAAAAAAAGAGTACAAACTAGAAAATATCGTCATGAGAGAAGTTTATACTAACTATTACTCTATGGAAATAGCCGGGTAACCGACAGTTTTCACCGTCGGTTACTCAGCTAACCGACTCCTCTCGCCAACCCTCTGAACAGCGACCGCCATACAATGAAGCCGGTTTTTGGTTAGTAGATAATCGATCGATTTTGGTTGTAACCGGTGGTTACCCGCTAACTTAAAACCATTTCCCCACCCTTAAATAATTCTCATTCTATTGCTCACATTATTTTATAACCTCAAATTTAAAGCATATTACCATCATCCAAAATATTAAAAAAAACTTTATTAAAGTGAATCAGAATATCTGATACATCAAAGAACCAGAAGCTTCAAATAAAATCTAGACTGTCTCTTGGTAACACTTTCATTTAAGGGGTCATTTGGATCTAGGTTTTTAATTTGTGGGATTTTGGCTCAAATCACTTGTTTAAAAACCTAGGTTTTTAATTTGTAGGATTTGTGTGGGATTTTAAAATAGCTGATCACCATCAGCTATTTCATAATCCCACAATTGTGGGTTTCTGAAATCTCTAATATTTAAAATCTCTTATCATATAATTGCTTTCCAAACGAGTGATTTTAATAAAATCCCACATTATGTAGGATTGTGCCCAAATCCCACACCCAAAACCTGCATCCAAATGACCCCTAAAACTTTTAAGTTAGACGTCATACACGAGCTTGCTCAGTAACATATACATGAACTTCAAACTCTATCTTGTATGCCTTTTTGACGAGCTTGCTCAATAACACATACATGAACTTCAAACTCTATCTTGTATGCCTTTGAGCTACGCATATTCGTCGATGAATTAATATTTTGACTAATTGATCGGTGAGAGTCATTCATCTCCCCAATCATATGAACTCGACCTCATTCATACATTTGAAGATTCCGACTTTAGAATTTCTTACTACTAGCTCGAACTCGTTATCAAGAGAAAGTCAAACTCTTCATAAGCTTTATTTTTTTAGGTTCTTTTTTGAGTGACTTTGATTAATACAAATAATATTTTGCATAGATATGAATAAAAAAAGTATGTTATTATGTTATATTATTATTATTATTAAAATGTTTTGGGACGTCAAATCCTAAATCCGCAACCGAATGATAACATGCAATAAACTCGCGACTTTGTACGAAAAATATAAACCTTTGATGAAAAAACTAATAATAGAAGAGAAACAAATTAACACAGCCTCTGAACAATCCCGCACCATAATGGGATCGTTGATTAAATGTAAGAATACAACATATAGATGTGACTAAAGGGGATTAATTATATCAAGAGAAGTAGTGCTAACTTCATGGCTTATTATGTTTCTGGGTGCAGATGTGTTATTCGACATGATGAGCTGCTAGATTTCTTCTCGTCAAGCAATCATTTTCTCCCAGCCCTACACATAGATCCTCCTCGTCCGAATCATGTCCATCCACCGCCTTGTGGGAGCTGCTGGCGGCGAAAAGAGCGGGATCAAGTCGGTCGATCATGGGATCGAAAGTATGTCCCTCAAAATTGACATCGGAAGTGGCCACGTTGGTCGGATTAGCGGCGGTCGGACCAGCGGCGGTCGGAGCTTCTGTCGGACCAGGGCGGGACGCAGCTCTGCAGGAGGTGACGAGGAGGGTGACTATGAATAAGGTGGAAATTATCTTAACCGTGGAAGGCATGTTTATACACAATTTTTTTTTTTTTTTTTACAAGTTTTGTAAAGGGAAACTCCGACCCTTCTCTATTTTCCTCGGGTTATCTTCTCTCTTTTCCTTGGATGTGAAGATGGAATTGGGTAAAAGGAAGAATTTAAAAGAGGAGAGTGCTTGAAGATGGAGGGATACTTGAGATTAAGATAGTTATCGAAACGAGAAGAATTTTTACTGAGATAGCAATAAAGGAAATGTCAAGAGGGATAAAAGGAAGAGGGAAAACTTCTACCGTGAATATTATTAGCGAGAAATGATGGACGTAAGTTTTGGGAGCCAAACAGATCCGTGGAGGCGATAAGCTAAATTTGGCAAACAAGCGATTGGCTCGAGTCTGAAGATGAGTTCCCAGGGATAATTATTAGGAGTTATAAAAGTAGTTGATTTGCCCCCTCTCCTATGGAGTTTGAGGAGCGCTCCAAATTATGACCGAGAGTATTTGTAGAGAGAAATATAAAATTTGACATAGGCATTAGGTGTGTAGTTTTTGTGGAATTATATATATATATGGTGACGTCTATGTACACCAGGCTTAAACTGTTGTATGTTGTACACCAGTCAATCTTTATCGTACGTATAATCTTGACGGTTAGCATAATTGCATGTTCTGTTTTTGTGGAATTATAAATTAAATTACGCTACTAGTCCACTGACCAAAAAATGTTACATTCTAATCCACTTCCGTCGGCGGGTCGATTAGGAGCTACGAACCAAAGTCAAGTTTTAGGCAGACAGCCAATCCTTTTCTGCAAATCACCCAACCTTTTCTCCTCCTCTCCTACCACCAGCCGTACCTCCGTCTCACATGCTCGTGATCTTGCTCTTGCTCTTTTTCTATGTTTCTATCTTACATCTCTCTCAATCTCTCTCCCTCTCTTACATAATCATAAAGGTACTCTTGGGTCATGAACATAATTGCAAATTATTTATTTGAAAACTCTTATACTATCAAAAAATTTCAATTGTCATTAAGACTAATAGCATCCATAAAAACCATATTATTAGGACTACAGCGCCATAACACAATATTTAACGTGGTTCGCCCTTTCAGAAAGGCTTTACTCTATGGTGGATAATAGGGTTCTTAGATTCCTTAATCAGCCATAAAGCCAGAATTAGGCTTAAATAGGTTGTCAAACACGCAGAGGCTTATGTGGACCGTGTATGATATATCCTCTTACCTCAACGTTATATCCTTCACCGTCCAATGCAACTAGCCATTGGATTTTGGAAAAGAAAACCAAACCAATTGGTACTCTTGGGTCATGAACATAACTGCAAATTATTAATTTGAAAACTCTTATACTATAAAAAAAATCAATTGTCATAAAGACTAATAGCATCCATAAAAACCATATTATTTGTACTACAGTGCCATAAATGTTAATCTACCTCAAATCGATGAACATAATCATATTGGTACTCTTGGGTCATGAACATAATTGCAAATGATTTATTTGAAAACTCATAATTTGCAAATGATTTATTTCAATTGTCATTAAGACTAATAGCATCCATAAAAACCATATTATTAGGACTACAGCGCCATAACACAATATTTAACGTGGTTCGCCCTTTCAGAAAGGCTTTACTCTACGGTGGATAATAGGGTTCTTAGATTCCTTAATTAGCCATAAAGCCAGAATTAGGCTTAAATAGGTTGTCAAACACGTAGAGGCTTATGTGGACCGTGTATGATATATCCTCTTACCTCAACGTTATATCCTCCACAGTCCACATACAAATATATATTTACAAAATGGTCCTCTAAAATTACATATTCCAACAATAAAAACTAACATATATAAATTATCCAAATTATTAAAATTAGATACAGAACAACGCCATTTTTCTTTTGGGATACAAGTCTGGTAGAAATCGAATTTGGACAAGCTCACATCCAATCTAACCTAATGATTCTTAAATTAGGTCACTTCCACATCCAATCCAAAATCCATCAAAGTAGCCAACGGAATTCAGTTGCCATTCCTAATTCCCTATTTACCAAGGTTGTCCAACCGGTTTAAGTCATTAAGCCGGTCAAGCAATGTGATTGAGGATTATTGATCTTATCAGAGTCAGATCTATTTAAAACGTTTATAGATTTTCTAAATATATATATACAAATAAGATAGTAATTTAAAACTTTAATGACTAAAATAAAATTAATTTTACAAATATATTGTAACATCCCAAACCTTTTTCCCGACGAAGATATTGTCCGCTTTGGGCCTCAACCCTCACGATTTTTGACTTGGGGTGCAATTCAAGGTGACTTCCCATAAGGTCACACATCCTTGTTGTACTCCACACTGAGCACGTTTAACTTCGGAGTTCTCATAAGAACTCTTCCATTTCACCTCAGAATGTATCTTGTCAGTTAAAGTCGATTTCTTACTTATGAATATCTCTCCCATACTTTATCGATATAAGATCTATTAAAAACTTATCCGAAAAAAAAAAAACAAAAACCATACCCAACCCCACTAATTCACCCACCATCTTCCTTCCCTCTCTTACCCTCCTCCCTCTTTAGGTGCCGTCAGCCTTTTCTATTTACACGAATATAGGAACTCCTCCTGCCACAGAAATTATTGGAGCCCAGAATTCACCCACACTTCCTGTTCCCAACCACCAGCCATTTCCCAAATAGCCATTCCCTCACCGGAGCATTCCATCTGGTGGTTGCACCCCAGGATCACTTTCTGCTCTCGGCTTACCATAATGGCGGTCGCCCCATCATCTGTGAAATACCTACAGTCTTCTACCCCATTCACTCTTCCCACTCAACTTTCCCCCAAATTTCATCTCCGATTTCCTTCCACTGCCGCCGCAAGGGCGAACTCCACCGGGTTCGGTTTCAGCACTCGTCGCAGTGTTCGGAGGAAACCTCCTGTGGTGCTGCGTGCCTCTGCTGCCGATTTTAGCCCGAGCATCGGAGAATTGTTGGGCGAAGTCACCGTGTTCAAAGCCTCCGGTGAGCCCGTCGTGTTCAAGGATCTCTGGGACCAGAACGAGGTAATAGAGCTATGGTCTCCCCCTCTTCTCGGTTCCTTCTGTTTTGTTCTTTGAGATGGATATTCATACAACTTTGATTGTGCAGGGGATGGCTGTTGTTGCACTGTTGAGACACTTTGGATGTCCTTGCTGGTAATTTGAATTTCGTTACCCCATTAAATTGATGGTGATCAGCTTTGGTTTTTTACTGAGCCGCCATGGTTTCTGATTGCTGTTGTTCAATTTTTTGGGTGAAGTTGGGAATTGGCGTCAGAGTTGAAGGAAGTTAAATCAAAATTTGATTCATCTGGCGTGAAACTCATTGCAATTGGTGTTGGTGAACCTAAAAAAGCCCTCTTGTTTTCCGAAAGGGTATAAATGATTCCTTTTTATCCCTTTAGAAAGGATGATACAGAAAGGTTTTGAAGGAATCAGTTCATTTCAGTAATTATGAACTGATGATCTCTCTTGATTTTGTCAGTTACCCTTTCCAGTGGACTCCCTCTATGCTGATCCCGATCGAAAGGTAAAAATTTGGTAGTACCCTTTTGATGAGTTGTTTCACCTCTATATTGGGTTCATCGATGGCTAAAGCTTTGGTTTCGGGGTCAGGCTTACGATGTCTTGGGTTTATACTATGGTTTTGGACGAACATTCTTCAACCCAGCAAGTGTAAGTGTTTCCTTTTTCCTCCACTTTTTACCATTTAGTTCAATGATTGGTGAACCCCTTTTCGGGTTAGTATCCACTGTGTTTGAATTCCTCGCTCTTTATGACAGGCTAAGGTTCTATCGAGATTTGATTCGCTCCGAAAAGCTGTGGAAAACTACACTATTGAAGCCACACCAGATGATAGAAGTGGAGTTCTACAGCAGGTTTCTCTCCTTTCTCATTATTTCAGAACTAAGAGTCTATTCCATTCTGAAGTAGTAATGGTTGATGAAACTATCAGCTGAGTTGAATCGACGACTAAGGTAATTTATGGCCGTATGATAATAATTGTGACGTGCTCATTCTTTTATGTTAGGGAGGGATGTTTGTGTTCAAGGGGAAAGAGTTGTTATATGCTAGAAAAGATGAAGGGACAGGCGATCACGCTCCGTTAAACGACATCATTGACCTCTGCTGCCAAGTTCCAGTAGCCTGAATTGAACAACAGTATTTGTTTTAGTAATCATCAAGAATGACTTAGATTCTGTTCATGTTTTGCTCTTTGTATGAACTTGTAATTGCATATATGTGGTTGACACTCCAGAATGCCTAGTATGTATGTACGTATATAAATAGGACCGTGCTGGTAAATAAATATACTATACAAGTTCCAGTTGGCATACTGCTGCCATTGTAGTTTTACTTCAACTAAACTACATAGAGAGCGCGGGAAACTAAACAACACACAATTACACAAATCTTTGTTTGTTTCTGATAAGCGAAAAAAACTCTCAGATATAGCTAAACTCTAGCCCGGGAAGGAATAGGAAAACTAACTGTAATAATAATTCCCTCTCCCTTCGTCCCTATTCTGTCTGTGCTTTCTTCTTCTTCCTTTCTCCCCCTCTTTCTCGGGCTCTCTCTCTGTAAATCTTTCTTTCCTTCTTGTTTTCGCTGGGCTGTTCTTTCTTTCTTCTCCTGCTGTCACCATGGAAGAAGAAATCAAGCAACCGCCATCAAAGCTGTTTGTGGGAGGAGTGAATAGGACAACCACAGGGCAAGAATTAGAGAAGCACTTTCAAAAGTACGGCCAAGTAAAAGACGCTTTTATCGTCTACTGCAAACAAACTTCACGAAGCCGTGGGTTTGGTTTCGTGGAGTTTGAAGACGCATCTGCAGCTGATCTTGCTCTTAATGAAGATCACATCATTCTTGGCCAAAAGGTGAGCTTTTCTTCAAGATTTATTTCCTATCACTCCCACCTGTTTCTTGCGTTATTTCATATTTGTATTGTACGAAGCTAAGGTGGTAGGTTTCTTTCTTCTGTTGCAAGTTATAACAATACCTCTTGCTTGTAGCAGGGTTATGACTAATTATGTATCTGGAATTACTGTGTGTATTGAGTAGGTGGATGTTTGCAGACCTAAACCGAAGAAAACGGATAATAATGAGACTGCTGTTGGTAAAGAGGGGGAGCATCATCGAAGAAGCAAAAGGGTATTTGTTGGAGGCTTGCCATCGACAATTACCCCAGAAGAGTTTAGGAGTTCCTTTCAGAGCTTCGGAGAGGTGAGTAATGCGATTGTAGTGTGCGACAAACACAGCGGGAAGCCAAGAGGGTTTGGGTTCATCACTTTTGAATCAGAAGATTCAGCGGACAGAGCTTTGAAGAACAGATTCTACCAGTTGAATGGGTCGCAAGTGGAGGTGAAAAGGGCAAATTCTAAGAACAACGCTATTAATAATTTCGCCAGAAGATACCATGAATACTCTGTCCCTGCTGCCCTGAACCATTCTTCTTATGTTAATGGTTATTACCACTACTGGTATAACCTACTTCATCAGCATACTTCAGGGCTCCCTTATTACTGGGTCCCGCCACCAGGAATGATGGGGAACTACTACTACGGCTACCAGTCTTGTTATCCAATGGCTGCTGCAAACTGTGCAAGTCTTTCAGGTGGATGGTCCTATGGTTCGGCTGATGCTATGCTACATAGCTATGGTGAGACAGACATTGTGGGACGTCGTCAAGAGGAAGATGAGACAAATATTACAGATGGGAATGGTGACCATGTCCTGCTGCTCCTTGTTAATTTCTGAATGGTTTCTAGTGGCTGGGTCTGTTTTAAATTTTATTTATATGGGGGAAATTTTGCAGGTGCAGAGGATCATGCTTGGGAAGTCTTGAGAAACTTGGACGAAGTTAATGGTCTTTCCGTGGATCAACAGGGAGCAGATGGCGAGATCAGAATCGCAGGAAGTAAAATTCCTGATGACGAAGAAACCGGTAGCTCTTCTTCTTCTTCTTTGGCATGTATGTCAAACTTTCTAGTTACTGGTCGATGATTGATCAACTAGTCATTTAACTCGAAACTGTAGGTACTGAGCATCATGTTGAACAAGTTTGGAGTAACTCGGATAGAATCAACAGCGAATTATTGGAGATCAAGTTTGGTGACATGGAACACCTAGAAGCAGCAGTAGGTGGCAAGCTTGATGAGGCAGAATCTGGGATTGGAGACCTTGGTTAGTTTCTTTTCTCCCATTGGACCAATTATGAGTAGTGTTGCCCTGTTTTGAATAACATACATATATGTGTGTTCGAAGAAGCATGAATGAGTTGCAATGTTTCTTTTCCATTTGATGAAACAGGTGAAGTAGATGGGGGAAATGCAGAAGTAGTGTCAAGGATGGTTACCTATTCCCTCGAGAATGGCAAGATTGATGGTTGGAGCATGGAAAGGAAGCCCGTAATGATGGTGGCAGCAGCCTGCATCCACACTTGAAAAGCAGCGAGCTTGGTAGCGTTCTCTTTTGGTAGGAGTTTGATGTAGTGGCCTAGTGGGTTTGTTTTCGGGTGATTTGCGCATTTTTGTTTGGATACGAATGGGTTTGATCTACGAGGGGATGGCCTCAAGAATTGCCGTTTTGTGTGGATGCATGGATTGGGATCTTAATTTGTTCGATCTTTTTTTATATGTAAAACAAATCTGTAACTTCAATTAACTTACAATGCACAATTCTGTTTCTACCACCTCTTTGTTGTTGAGTTTCCATATTAATGTCTGGCAATCCGACTCCAGAAGCATCAACATCGAAACATACATTCTTGCGAGCCTAAATCCTAGAGGGTTGTCTGAGCTTTTGTGAACTCTGGAGGTGAACTTTGGTGTCCAATTGACCCTTTCCTTCTCACCATAGCCAAAACGAATGAACCATCCTCATCTTGAATCACCACACCCAGACCCGTTCCTCCCTCCCTCACTTTCGAAGGATCAACATTAATTTTAAAAGATCCTCTTTCTGGCCTCTCCCACCTATATCAAAGCGATTCGTGTCCGCCTATGAATCCGACGATTGATTGCTCCAATATTCATTAAGGTAAAGTTGTGATCTTTCAATCACTTCCCCTTCTGCTAATTTCATGTTGTTTAATTGATGGTTGTTGTGTTCTTTCCAAATATACCATAGTGTCATAACAATCGAACATAGAGCTTCATCTGTAACTTTCTCGAGCATTTGCATAGTCATTCTTTGCTTGATTTTTCTTCTCCTAGGTGAAACAAGCTTCCTAGAAAACTAGGTTTTTATTTTGTCTTCCTAGTCACATTCCCTCACGATGTATCCATGTGTTTCTCTTAGCCCACAGAAATTGCATTCATTACTCGCATCCTTCATTCTTTTGCTTAGGTTTTTCTCAGTTGTTAGGATATTGTTGCCCCACCTCCATAGGAAAACCCTCACTTTTGGTGAGAGCTATAGATGACGCACCCTTTTCCATTCCACCGAAATATATATATTTCTCTATCTCTTTCATGTTACCTCTTTTTTCCATTTGTGATAGCCTGATTTCATGGTGTACCTAGGGGTGGCAGTCGGTCGGTTTCAGTTTAACCGAAAACCGAAATCCCGGTTATCGGTTAAACCGAGCCACCCTGCATACCTGCCGACCACCGACCGTGATAGTGGTCACGGTTAGCCGGCCAACCGACTGGTCGGTTTCGGTTTTAGGCTCGGTTAGCCAGCCAACCGAAAAATACCCTATATAAAAAAATTAAAAGCAACAAAATTCTGAACCACTCACTCCTCACCCTCTCACTTCTCGATTCTTCTTCTTCCTATCCACTTTCCAGAGCAGCGACCGCCGACCGCCCTTTAACCATCTCGATTCTTCTTCTTCCTTTCACCATCTCGATTCTTCTTCTTCTTTTCCAGAGCAGCGACCGTCCTTCTTCTTCCTTTCCAGAGCAGCGACCGTCGGTTGCTACAGCAGAGGCGGACTATGGAGGGGTAGCGCGATTGGAGGCGGGCGGCGAGGCGGAGTTGCTCTTCCCGCTCGTGTAGTCGACGAAATCCTGAATCAGAATCGGGCCGACGTAGGTGACGCAGAGGCGGACTATGGCGAGGAACGCCGTGAAGGCGATTTCCTTCCAGAACATGCGGAGGATGGTGGTGCGAACTGGGTTCTGGCATTTCTTCTCCTGCGGCCAGGAGGCGTCCCAGAGATTGGAGATGGTGGCGGCTCTGTCGTGTGGGGCGAGGCTGGGGACGTCTTCGATTGGAGTTGGGAGTAGATGGATTGGAGGGAGGCGGTTGGGGATTTGGGAGATGGGATGAAGGCTGCTAGGGTTGGGGATTTGGGGATGGGGTGTTTTATGTAAGGCAAAAACGGCGTCGTTTAGGCCTGCCGGTTAGTGTCGGTTAGCCGGTTTAACCAGCATCGGTTTTTTGGCTAACCGCCTAACCACGGAGAGCCTCCGACAACCGACAGTGGCCAGTTTTTTTCGGTTAGCCGCTAACCGGCGGTTAACAGTTAGACCGGCTGGTTAGCCGCTAACCGAAAACCGAAATGACAGCCCTAGGTGTACCTGTCCAATCAGTCACTACACCATATGCGAGTGTCTTGATGGTGCTTGGTTAATAAAGGGATATGAGCTATTCTGATTCTATCAACTGGGTGGAAATTTAACTGCAAAATGTTGCTTTTCCATATTGAATAATCAATGAGTTCTAATACCTTTCCATGTCATCCCAAGCATGAGGTTGGGGTTTGACCTTGAAATTTGGATTGTTAGGAACTCATCTATCTCACCACAACCTTACATTCTCCCTCATTCCCACTCCACCTGATTCCATTTTTTCATTTGTGGTTCAACCACCATGAGGCTTCGCCAAATGTAATTGGGATTGCTCATAATCTCTGTCCCTATTACATCAGTTGTTTGCGCGTTATCTAGCGATCGGATTGTGGTTAAAACTGAGAAAATTAAACGAGCAAGCAAGCAAACTTGGGTGATTTCAATTGAGAAAGAATCACTGGAATATTGCTCCCCCTAATCTCGTGTCAAGATACAATGAATGAAACTCTAGTGAGATAGGTAGGATCATACTGAGAGGAAATCACAATTATCTAGGGAAACCCCAAGCTTCCCAAGCGATCGATTAAGGATTGTGACAATTATCTAGGAAATCCTAAGCCTCTTAATCGATCAACCAAGGTTTACAAAATCACTCCCTCGAAAAGTAATCCGGAATGGCAAAAACTAACCAATCAAGACGATATCATGATACTAATTCGGTGAATGAGGAATGTCTTGAATTGCCCCAGAGTAGGTTACCAAAATTGTCAATATTGGGCTATGAGGGGATTTATTCCTTCTAGGTTAACTATTCCCAAAATTGAGACATGAACAATCAACACCCAAATTCCATGAATAATACTTCAAACATTATATTAATCGAGTGATTTTACAATACTATATAATATTGGTGCTATAAGTTTTTGTCTTTATGGTACAATTTCAACTTGTACCTACACATTTTGTACAAATTCTTTTAAAGTACAACTTAAATTTGTACCTTTATGTGATGGTATACCATAACATAATTGTACAAATTTCTTTATGGTACAACCTAAACTTATACATTTAATGTTATGGTACAATTTCAAGTTGTAAATTAAAGCACCAATACTATATAGCATAGTAGAAGTGCTCATATTAATCACAAGCCCAACACACATAGAGTTCAATTCCTACAATCTAACACATCCTAGACTAGGGTTCACAACATCCAAGTGATATTGGAGACTACTCCATAGCTACATGTGAAAATACAAATAAGAGAGCAGAAAAACTCATAGCAAGATAATCTTCCTTCTTCTTAGATGCTTGATTCAACCTTTAGAGAAGAAATTAACCTTCCTCTAGCCTTGTGTAGGTGAAAATCTCCTCCCTTCTTTCTTAGCTCGTAGCTCTCTCTCTGTCTCTAAACCTTGAAGAAGAAACTCCAATCTCTCTCTAGGACTCTCCCTTTTGAATTCAACCAACTATCCCTTATATAGGTCCCGAGTGCACAAATTAAGGTCTCACATCACGTCCGTGAAGTCGAAAGTGGAACTGTTATCTCGGCTCAAAATGCATTGTTTCACTAACGAACTTCACGAACATCGCGATCTGGAGACCGTGATCTAGACACTGCCCGCGAGCCATATAAATCCTCCTGGAACATTGCAAACTTCACTGTTGAAGTGTTGACATCACACTTCACAGTCTGCACTCATCATAATTGCTTCGCAACCGTATCACCTCTTGAACAATAACAACATTGTCATGTCACATCACATGTGTAGCTCTTCCTGAGATAAAACTAGCTTGGGTAGGCCCAATCAACCCATAGGCCGTTAAGCGTTCGGATATGGCCCAAAAATGTAATTAACAAACAACAGCCTCGCTCAGTTCATTAGTCCGGTCCACCCGCCTCGTCTTCTTCCCGAAGATAATTACTTTTGCTCCCTTTCAAGGCAACTGACTAACTTCAAAAGTCAAAACCCTAAAACGGCTCTATAAACCCCAACCAAAACAGCTTGATTCTCTCTGGAACCAGCAATGGGGAAACCTAAAGATAAACCTGCAAAACAAGCGAAACAATATATTGAAATCAAAGAGGAACCTATTGAGGAAGAAGGACAACGAGCAGTACAGCCACCGCAGGAGGCTGAGCACGAGAACAAAGTGAAGGACGAACCGGAAGAGGAGAACGACGATGACGGCGGCAGCGAAGCGGAAGACGAAGAAAAAAGCTTTGACGAGCTGGGGCTGGACCCTCGGTTGATTCGAGCTCTTAGCAAGAAGGACATTAGTATCTCAAAGCCAACGCCAATTCAACGCGTTGCTATTCCTCTCATACTGGTGATTTTCTCTTCCATTCTTGTTGGCTTCATGTTTCGAGACGTAAGGTGGATTCTGATTGGTCAAAGATCAGTTGCTTTTGCTATTCGAATTTGCCGCTTTAGTGTGGAGAAGCAAGTAATTTCCACCTTTAAAACCTCTCAGCTCTCGGTTGACGAGTTGAGCTCCTTGGTGAAGAAGTTGGATACTTAAAATTGCCTATGTATACATGCAAATTTATCATTGTTTTCGAACAGCTAGTTGGTCAATCCCCTTGTTTTCATATGGTTGATTTGTGGAAGAAACTTGCATTTCCTATCTTAGTTTTGTATCCTTGCTGTGGGCTTGTGGCTAAATTGGCATTGCTGGTTCTGTACTGTTGTTTGATTTTTTATTTTCTTTGTTCTGTTTGTAACATTGGTGCCAAATCAAAGGATTGATTTTGGTGTTCTTATTTTCTTCCGGCTTGATGGTATTGGTGGTTGTAGGAAGGAAAGGATGTGGTTGCACGAGCAAAGACTGGATCTGGAAAGACGCTAGCATACCTGCTGCCCTTGCTTCATAAGCTGTTTGCTGATTCCGGATTGAAGCAAAAGAATGCCCCTTCCGCCTTCATTCTTGTCCCGAGTGGAGAGTTGTGTCAGCAGGCAAAGATCTAAACATGCTGGGATGCTTTGTGGTTTTGTTTATTTTTGTTTTTCCAACTGGAAGATGACGAGTTTGCTGTGATTTATAGGTTTACAAGGAGATTTCCTCACTCATAGACTTGTGTAAAGTCCCATTGAAGGCTGTGCCATTGAGAAGCAACATGCCTATTTCCGATATGGTTAGTTGCTATTCCTCTTTCTGGTTTTTAAGAAGGTTGTGCTACTTCAAAGAAAGACATATCTTGGGCTATCTTTGTTGGTTCAATGTCTTTTTATTCCATATGTTAAGCATGTGCAGCTGCTTTTCTTTTAATTCCTTGCAGCGTGCTGCATTGTCTGGACCTCCTGATATTCTGATCTCGACTCCTGCTGGTGTTGCCAAGTGCTTATCAACTGGTGTACTTCAATCGACATTGATTGCTGATTCTCTGGAAATACTTGTTCTGGATGAGGTGAGTGTTCCCCAGGCTCATGTTAGATCGCTTGCAGCACATGGATTTTAGTTTGTTATGAATTGTTTAATGGCCTGAAAGTACCCAGCCATTTGCTATTATATTGTCATTCTTAGCTATATATGGTTCAATCAAAAGGGGCATAAAAGAATTCGGGGTTGGGTTTTGCTTGTTCTTTTTATAAGTTTGAAGCACTTCTGAATGACCATAATTGGCACTTTCGGTATTTTCCTTCAGTTACTGGAGTACCATTACCTATCCTTGGCCACTTTTTGCTGTTAAGTCATTGATTTATGGTAACTTTCAGGCAGATCTCTTATTATCATTTGGCTTTGAAGAAGATCTAAAAGCTCTTACTGCTCTTCTTCCCAGACGTTGTCAATGCCTTCTTATGTCTGCCACATCAAGGTCTGTTTTAGATTTTTTTTTTTTTTTTTGCTTGATCATTGCTGTGGCTGATGGTGAACACCCTGTGATGTGTTCTGCTTTGCTAAAATGTGTCTTACTGCTGTCCAGGATCTGTACATAGGAATTCCCTCGCATGTGGAATTTGTAGGTCATTGTTTAAATCTCATATATGATTTTGATCATTATCTTCTATTTGGCAGTGATGATGTCGATAAACTCAAGAAGCTTATCCTACACAATCCATATATCTTAACTTTGCCAGAAGTTGATGGTGTGAAGGATGAAGTGATTCCTAAAAATGTTCAACAATTTTGGGTAAGCAATTAGTGTCTTTATTGATGAAACAATATCAAACAACTTTATATCTTGAACTTTAGGTTGCTATTCATTTTGTTTTTGTCAAACAGAAAAGGTTAAGTTTCTGATATTTTCATGGGTCAAGGTTTTCTCATTTGACTCAAGTATCAAAGCATTTCAATTCTTTTCTGAACTGTTGCCAAGGGATTCAACAGTGAAGCACAAGTTTCCTAACTCTTGAAGTAAGCTATTTAGCTTGAAAATCTCTTATGTTGGTCTATGCAATTCCTTTTGTAATAAGATTGTTATACTGTTTATGTCAATGGACTGTGTCCAAACCTATATTCATGATGAATCATGTTTCAGCGTAGTTTTGTCTGTGAACTGTCAGTTATACTTCAAGTTTTTTGTCCTACTGAGATATATTCTTTCATATTGCTGTCAGATTTCGACCAGTGATCAAGACAAGTTAGTTCATATTCTTGCACTATTGAAGCTGGAACTCGTACAGAAAAAAGTTCTTATATTTACCAATTCTATTGACATGAGTTTCAGATTGAAACTTTTCTTGGAAAAGGTACTCTTAATTTTGTATCGTATTTTCAAATACATTTCATATCTATTTCCCACAAGTGTGAGCGCATCTCTAAAGCCGCCCCTGCTGATGCACAAGCTTTATTTTGCAGTTTGGAATCAAATCTGCTGTTTTAAATGCAGAGTTGCCGCAAAATTCTCGTCTCCATATCCTTGAGGTACCGGTCCACAGATGTTTTATATTGGACTTGTGTCAAAATCCCTTCTTATCATTAAGGACACAATGGTATGGTTTATGCAGATCTTCGTATGTGATGCGTGCAATTTCTGAAGTTTCTCGACTTGGCTCTGTATTATTCTCTTTTCAGGAATTTAATGCTGGCCTTTTCGACTATCTGATTGCTGGGGATGAGAGTGAGGCAAAAGATAAGGAAGTAGTTGACAAAGGTAGTAATGCTGATACCAAAAGGTCTAAAAAGTATCCAAAGCAGAAATTGGACTCAGAATTCGGTGTTGTGAGGGGAATTGACTTCAAAAACGTATTCACGGTATGTCAAATGATTTTGGTAGAACTGCTTATACTGAATATGTCGATCTTAGATTCACTTGTTTTGAGTCCTCGATTCTGCCATTTCATAGTGAGCTTAATCGAAGATCAACTTTTTTTTCCAAATAAAAATCAAAATGTTGTTGCATATTAACTTGTTTATTCAGTTTGAATCAAAATCTTGTTCTTGTCTCTGTTTTGTTGGGAGTAGAATATATTGACTTTTATCTGCTAGTTTTGAAAGAGCTTGGCAAATATGTTGTGTGAGCTCTTTAACTTGTTATCTCTGGATTTTGCTGGTGTTATATGTTTGTGGAATGCCCTTCTTTTGTTATGGAGTCCTTTCCGTGTTATCTTGAAGAATTTGGCTTGTCATGGAAAATGGTGTTCTGATGAATGACTTTCAATCTGTAGTTGATTTACCTAATACTTGATAACTGTTGGTTCATGCTTTTGCTATCATATGTTTTCTCTTGTGTTTCTTCCTTTATAATGTCTTAAAAGATTTGGCCATTGTAGGTCATAAATTATGATATGCCTGGTTCTGCTGTTGGATATGTCCACCGAATTGGACGGACTGGAAGAGCATACAACACTGGTGTTTCTGTTTCTCTCGTGAGTTCCCATCTCTGACTGTTCACAACATTACGTATTGAGAACCAAATGCTGCCTCAGATTTTTATTGCGACAGACTTTCCTTCTGCTTTAATCGCTATGTGGACGCTATCAGGTTTCTCCAGATGAGGTGGAAATTCTCGAAGAGGTAAAATCTTTGTTGGGCAATGAGGAAGATGAGAATGCAGATGTCATTTCTCCATTCCCTTTGCTAACTAAAAACGCTGTTGAGTCATTACGGTATAGAGCTGAGGTAAAAGATTGTCCCTGGTTCTCTTGGTAAATTATTAGCTTAATTCCCTCAAATCTCTACGCTCGTTGGTTCTGATTTTCCAATTTGTAATCTTCCTGGCATCAAATCAATCATAATTCTCCGTCCGTAAAGATTCTACTCAAGAAGTAGGGACAATAATTTCCTGATATACAGCTGAGTGCTGATAAACATGGACATATATCTTGCAGGATACGGCGAAGAGTGTTACTAGAGTTGCTGTCCGAGAAGCTCGAGCACAGGATCTGAGGAATGAGATTCTCAACTCAGAAAAGTAAGCGTTGATTTTGTCCCTCTTAATTCCTGTCCATGCCATAGCTCGTTCCTTTCATAGTTTGGCACCGGAGTTTCTTATGAGCCGCCGACTGCCTTCTCTGTTGTAGGTTGAAGTCTCATTTCGAAGCCAATCCAAGGGACTTAGGTAATGGAAAAGTAGATTGCTGTTTTAAATGCCTATTTTTTCCCCATCCCGAGGTCAGAGTCAACTGATAAATTACTGTGATCTCTTCAACAGATTTACTAAAACACGACAAGAGTTTGAGCCAGCAGGCACCTGCTCCTCATCTGCGCAAGGTGCCAGATTACTTGATCGATGCTACCACGAAGGAAGCCAGTAAGATGGTGAAGCTTGCTAGAGCTGCAATGGGGAACAATCCTTCTCGACGTCAAGGGTTTAAAAGGAAGTCCAAGAAAGGAGGGGGAGACCCTCTCAAGTCATTCTCCGCTGAGGTGAGATTGTTATTCTTTACCCTTTGATTTGGATTCTGTTTAGGATCGGGCTTTTTTGAGTTAGTTGGAAAGTTGTGCTCATTGCTGAAAACTGAATCGTTTAGGGAGGAGCGAAGGGAGGTCGAAAAGGCGGTATGAAAAGAGGAGGCCGAAGCACTGATGGCAATCATAAACACAACAAGAAGCGGAAATCTCTGTGAGCCTTGGCAATTTTGATGCCCTCGTTTCATTTTTGGACAAATGTTGTAACAGCACAAAGGGACAGTAGTTGAAGGAAGAAAAAAAAAAGAGTGTATTTCTCAATTTCTGATATAAAAAGATCCGTCCAAATATACAAATATTGTTTTCTGGGTGAAAATCCGTGTACAGTTTTCATATACATGTCATCCCAATTCGCAATTGGGAGACTAAAGGGTCGTTTTGTATGAATTATTTACTTGTCCATTTCAGATAATCGAAATTGCCTCGAAACAGATTAATTCTAAATTTCTCGAATCAAGATTTGTTTTGAAATTGTTGCCACTCCCGACTCTCTTAATCAAGAGGGGTGCTTAATGAAATCTATTATTAGGGGGGAAAATTGAAATAGAAATGCAAATCATTAAATTTAAATAGAAAAAAAAAACTATGGACGTTTGCTGGCGGATGGTCGGGCCGCTAATGAGTTGTTTTACGATTCGAAATATATCAACATTCAACAATGAATGAGACGTTTGTTCTAAGAAGAAGAAGCGTAGATTTGGGAGCCACGTTGATGGAAGGACATCCGCACATCAACCCGCTGACGTGGTCCAATTACTTACACCTTTCAATTCATTCATCCCGCCACGAGTTCCCATTGGTCCCTCTCCCAATGGCTCATTCATTCATTGTGAGGTTTACATCCTATGAAAGCAAACTCTTGAACTCACAGGTCAGTCAGATGGAAGTTGGAAATTATCTTTCATTTTCCTATCAAGTGGAAACTGTAAATGTCATTTGAATGGGCAAACAGAGTTGGACGGGACTAACGGAGAGTGACTAAATGTGACATGTTTCAATAATTCGAATGACATTCGTAAAAAAATAATGAAGATAATTCGAGTGACCGGAGTTGGACGGGAGAGCGACTAAATGTGACCTGTTTTAGTAATTCGACTGACGAAATTGATATTAATTTTTTCTAGTGACTAAACATAACACGATTTAGTAATCTCATTGGCCAAATGTAGTATTTTGGGCAGCAAAGCCGTAATATACTAATATTGATGATCGAGATGATAGACCTGTGTGATGTGTCACTGCTGTGCATATGAAAAGGAGTCTTATTCTCGAAACTTCTTTTAGATGCATCATTCTCTCTCACATCAATCACAATACTTGTTCCCATAAGATTATTTAAACAAGTTCTAATCAAATATTTGTGTGTCAAGTTTCACATATTCGGTCGTGAAAACCAATTATCTTGCACAACAATTTGTACTATATCTATAAAATGTAGTAAATATTTTCTCTATTTACCTTATGCTGTTTCAAATTTACTTACTTCTCATCATCTACATTAACGGTCTTACTTGAAAAGGTAGTTTGACTTTTATTTTGTTTTTGTTCCTTTTAGATTCTTCATTCATCCGATCACTATCACACACTCTCTTTTCTTTTTTCAGTGCTCCCATTATTCTTAATCATATTTCTTTTGTTTCAACTTCCAATTTAGATATTTTTGCGCAAAAAAATATGATTTTTTTGTGAACTGCACAATAATGTCAATTTTGATATGTTGCGATCAAAAATATCAAAGACATGATCACGGTCACGATCACGATCACGTATTTACGGATTATTCTTGTTAAAAAGAGTTTCTAAACTATACTTATATTATTCAATTATATACCGCCATAATTCATGGGAAACGTTCATGTTCCACAAAGTAAACAACGTTTTCAAGTGTGTAAAAAATATTATCATTGTGTATAAATCAAATTATCTTAACGGCGGAAAGAATTCGTTTTCCGACCAATTAGTCCGACTCAAAGCCAGTTGTTAAATCTTGTAAAAGAAATGGTCTACTTTTTCTCATTAATCAGAAAGGTAAAATTACATTGTCCTTATTACATATTTATATATATCTGTATATTAGTAAATAACAAAATAATACAACAAGAAACAAATATTACAATTTAGTTCCTATACTACTGTTTTATTACACCGGAGTCCTCCAACACCACCCCGCAAGCTGGAGCGTGAATGTCAATCCGATTCAGCTTGGAGATGAGTCCTGTGAAAACAATACTCGACAAAGACTTTGTAAAAATGTCAGCAAGTTGATTCTCACTGCTGATAAACAACACTTTTATCAAACCTGACAAGATTCTATCACGAATAAGATGGCAATCGATCTCAATATGTTTGGTACGCTCATGAGCAACCGGATTTTCAGCTAAACGAATAGTAGACTGGTTATCACAGAATAACACAGTAGGAGAGTTAAATGAAACACCTAAATCCTGAAAAATGTAATGTAACCACTGTACCTCACATGTTAAATCTGCCATGGCTCGGTATTCGGCTTCAGTGGAGGATCTAGAAACAGTAGGCTGCTTCTTGGATCTCCAACTAATAATCGAATCACCTAAAAACACACAATATCCAGTAACAGAGCGCATAGAGTCCGGACATCCAGCCCAATCACTATCTGAAAAACCAGTCAGTTTGATAGAAGAATTGCTAGGAAAGAAAAGTCCTTGACCTGGATTATTCTTAAGATATCTAAGAACTCTGTGAGCAGCAGTAAGATGTACATTAGTTGGAGCACTCATGAATTGAGTTAGATGATGCACAGCATATACTATATCTGGTCGGGTATGACATAAGTATAATAAGCGTCCTACTAATCTACGATAGAGCTCTGGGTCAGAAAGTGGATTACCATCATTCACTGAAAGTTGACTACCTGCTACAAGAGGTGTGGCAGCAGGCTTAGCTGCAAGTAAACCTGCATCTTTAAGCAAATCAAGGGCATATTTCCTTTGGCAGATGGAAAAACCAGCAGAGGTTCTAGCAATCTCTAGTCCTAGAAAATATTTAAGTGGACCTAAGTCCTTGATTTTGAATGCATCATCCAGCTGTGATTTAAGCAGGTTAATAGCATCTAAATCATCACCAGCAAGAATTACATCATCCACATATACTAGGACAGCGAGAAATTTACCCATATTTGACTTAGTGAACAATGAGTAATCTGCCTTAGACTGTTTGTAACCAGAAGAAACAAGAAATTGAGTGATTTTGTGATTCCATTGTCGGCTGGCCTGTTTAAGACCATACAGCGACTTATTAAGCTTGCATACTAGATTTTTAGAAGGTAAATGTAAACCGGGAGGAGGTTTCATGTAAACTTCTTCAACCAAATCACCGTGTAAAAACGCATTATTAACATCAAGTTGCTGCACATGCCAGTTTTTAATCGAAGCAAGAGCAAGTAAGGCACGGACAGTAGTAAGTTTTGCTACGGGAGAAAATGTTTCTAAATAATCAATACCTGGGGTTTGAGTGTATCCTTTTGCAACTAACCTAGCTTTATACCTTTCTATACTACCATCAGGTTTAAATTTAATACGAAACACCCATTTATTTCCAATAGCATGCTTACCGGGAGGCAGTGGAGTTAGAGTCCAAGTATTGGTATTCGCCAATGCCAGGAGCTCTAAATCTATAGCCTCAACCCACCTTGGATCCTTAGCAGCCTCAGTGTAAGTGGCTGGTTCTGTTGCATTAGTGACGGCCATAATGAAACGCCGATAAGTAGGTGATAACCTGTCATAAGACAACACTTGGGAAATAGGGTATTTAGTTTTAGCAGTAGGTCGAATGTAATCACTGAGTTTCTTAGGTGGAACTCGAATCCTATCTGAACGCCTAGGGGGCAAGGTGCTGCTAGGCTGTATTTCAGGTGAAGAAGAAGATGCAGAGGACATAGGAATGTCGGCCGGAATGCAAGCAGAAGTATTATTGGAAGATGGAACAGAATTGGTAGTGGAAGATGGAATGGAAGAAGGTGTTAAAGAAGAAGGAACAGTGCACTCTATAGGCTGAATGTCAAGTAAAGGGAGAACCTGGTCAAGAGAAGCTAGGGACAGATTGCTATTTGAGAATGGAAATATGTTTTCATGGAAAGAAACATCCCTAGACTCTAGGATTTTGTGAGAAACTAAACTATACAGCTTGTACCCTTTGGTAGCAAAAGGGTAACCAAGGAAAATGCAAGGTTCGGCCCTAGGTGAGAACTTAGGACGATTATGAGCTAATGTAGACGCGTAGCATAAACTACCAAAAACTTTTAATAGACTGTAATCTGGTTTCTGATGGAAAAGGAGCTCAAATGGGGTTTTATTATCTAAGATTGGAGTAGGCAGCCGGTTAATAAGATGGACAGCATGCAACACTGCATGTCCCCAAAATTTAACCGGGAGAGAAGCTTGCATCAAAAGAGCTCGCGCAACAGCAATAATGTGTTGTTGTTTGCGCTCAACACGGCCATTTTGTTGTGAAGTGGCAGTACAGGTTGTTTGATGAATGATTCCTAAGGAATGATAAAATGAAGGCATATGGAATTCAGTACCATTATCTGTCCTAATTGTTTTGACTAGTGTAGAGAATTGGGTTTGAACATAAGCACAAAAGGACTGAACTAGAGTTCTTGCCTCTGATTTAGCACGCATCAAATAACACCAAGTATTACGAGAGTGATCATCAAGTATAGTGAGAAAATAACGGTGACCATCAATAGTAGGAACAGCATATGGTCCCCATATGTCAATATGGACTAAATCAAACATATTAGCAGCATAAGAACTACTTGTTTGAAAGGGTAAACGACGCTGTTTAGCAACAGGACAGACAGAACAATGCAAATTTTGACACTTATTACTAACACTAAGACCTGGAACTGAACTGTGGCCAAGACGATAATGCCAGAGGTCAATTTGTCTTATAGTTGTGTCAAATATAGCAGATAGAGCAATAGGAAAAGACAGAGATGACGAATCGCGTCCAGAGTCGACTTGGAGGTAGTACAGCCCGGCAATCTACTTAGCTATACCAATCCTCTGCCGGGACGGGATATCCTGAATTATGCACGAAGAATGAGAGAAAATCAACTCACATTCATTCTGCTTAGCTAGCTGACTAGCTGATAGCAGATTAAACGTGAATGAAGGAATCATCAAAACATTGTGAACAATTAATCTATCAGACAACCTCACAGAACCCTTATGTGTTACACTAATGCGAGTACCATTAGGTAGGGTGACAAACATGCCAGTCATAGGTCTATATTCAACAAACATATCTAGTGAACAAGCTACATGATCAGTAGCTCCACTATCAATTATCCAAATATGCATAGAATCATTTAAGGATTGATGAGACAAAGAGGCATAGCAAGACTTACCTGCCGCAGCATGTGCTGCCAGTACAGCAGGGTGAGTCCACACAGGAGCAGAGGG